TGACATGTGGATACGTAAAGGTTAATCTTTTGCTATTTGCAGTATTTTTAACTTTCCTTAGAAATTCTATTGTAGGGATATTATTTCTAATAAATAAAATCCGTCCAACAAAGTGCTTGACGCTTTTTTTCGTAGCAAATTTAGCTATGAGCCAGTCACCTTCGTTTAAATTATCAACATTGCCTCTGAAATACTCAATATCACTGATCCCAAACGGGATCGGGTCCGGCTCCAAGTTTTCTTTTGCCGACTGATCTTGTAAACAGATTTTTATGTAGTCATTTAATGTTTCATATTCCGAATCATCTGATTCTGCTATACTCAATTGAAAGTCGGAAATTTCAGAGCTTGATTCACTAATTTTTTTTTTAAATTTCTTCTTATTCACAGATGTTGTTTTCCTTGATTTTGTTTTGATTTTATTAATTTTACTCCTTTTTTTCACGCTTTACGCATGTGGTTCTAGTCATACGTTTTCGTTTTCGTGTTGTATTTTCTTCTTTTTGCATATTTATGTATTCATTATTTTTGTCCGTTACGCTTGAATCATTGGTTATTTTATTTATTTTATCCCTTGTAAATAATTTCATTTTCAGTGCTGATTGCGTAATAACTTTAGCACCTGCATCTATTTGGATCCTTAAGTTTTTCTGTGTTTTTCTTTCCTTACAGTCTAATTTTACATTGGAAGTTATTGTAACATTTGTTTGATTTGTTGATTGCAAACATGGTAGCAAATCATTATCATTTATCACTATAAATGGCAAGTTCTCTTTGTCACCTTTTCGATTTTTGCTTAATAAATGCACATCATTTGGTGTAATTTATTAAGGAAATCATATTATTATTTATAACTGTTATACAGATTTTACTGAGACTATCTGGATTATAAAGCACATGGGATATATTTGACCATAGGAACATTTGTAAATTATTTCTATAAACATTTTCATTTGACGTCGAAGGCATTTCGTTAGATTTATATGACGGAAAAACTATACCTTCATGTTCTATCTTCTGGGTAGTTTCAATATGTTCAGGTGTTCAAGTGTTTTTTAAAAAAAATCCTATTTTGTCATCCAATACGAGCTCATTTTCTTCTATGTCTCTTTCAGTAGTCACTTCTTCTAATATATTTATCTCACAATCTTGCCTGCTGCTTTCTATATCATTAAAATTATCCTGATAGTTTTCAAATCTTTTGGATTTCTTATTTTGAACACTTTTGTTACTAGTTGTTTTTATTAAAATATCGGCGGCACAAACTGACTTGCCTGGTTCTGTACGTAATTTCTTACTCCTTTTCACTGCCATTGGTTTAGAACACCTTGTTTTTTGTAGGTAATCTAATAAAGCTGAATCTATTCTGTACACTTCTTCGTCAAAATACTCAGGTATTCGTTTCAAAACATTTCGGGCATTAACTGGCCATATTCCCGCGGCTCTAAATCCACTTTTAATATTATTACTTTCTCTGAGATTAATATTTTTTAATAATTCGTTCAAGAGTTTAGGAAAGTGCTTTTTATTAATAGTTGACTGTTCCGGATTTTGAATTTTGTAATTTGTGAGTATTCATTCCTCCATTCTCTTTTTAAAGGGGCAAAAAACGCTACATCTAGAGGTTGGGTCAGATGTGTGGAGTTAGGTGGAAGAAACACAAACCTAATATCATATTTTTGGCATAGCTCCACAACTTCGATATTTAGGTGACTAGACAAATTGTCACCTATTATGACTTTTGGTCCTGATAGATTCTTTGCCCACTTTAGTATAATTGTTCTAAAATAATCCTCAAAACAGGCAGAGTCAAATCAAGCCGATTTCGTGCAATTATAACGAGTTCCATCAGGACCTCCGTCAACCCATTCGGAATATAGATTTGTAGCTTTATATACTACATATGTTGGAAGACAGTCACCAGCTGCAGACACCGTAAAAATAATCGAAACACAACTCTCTCTTAGAACTGTTTAAAATTCTCTCGGGATATTTTATACCCCTTCTAAAAATGCATTTTAAATTACTCGGGTTATCAGACAAATTAGTCTCATCATAGTTAAGGATGTTACTAGGTGGAATATCCTTCAGCGTCGCTTGTAAATTATCGAAGAAATTTTGCATTTCTAGCAGACCTTTCTCGGCCCGGACCTTTTTTATATTTTGTGTAGTTCGAACTGATAATTTTGATGAATGTCTATTTAAAAAAAATTTCTACCCAAGTGTTTCCGGGCATTTTTCCATTAAAAATATGACTGCGTGAATTTTTTTCTAAATAATTAAAAACAAGCATTTTCAGGTCTAACTTGGTCATTGGAGAACCATAGTCACTGACAGCTACCAGAACATTTACAAGATTTTCTTCTTCGATTTCTGTTAGATGTTTTTGTCCCCCAACCGTTTTCATGTGCACTTCTTTTGCCTTATTTATTATGGTCCTCCGTGGTATCCCGAATTGTTTTTCGGCTTGTCTACTAGAAATAACATGTTTTTTTACTAGATCTACTGCTATATCCAACATTTCCTTAGAGTAGTTTTTGTAATTTCTGGATCCTAGTTTCCTTCTATTTCTTTTTCTTTTTGTACATGTATTTGAATTATTATTACTGTTCATCCTATAAAAACAAAAACAATATATCTGAGAAACTATAAAAACAAATAATAAAAAGGTTACAAAATGCGGAATTACGCAGAAGCGTAGAATACTATATGTAGAAAATACGATCGACGAGATCTTTCATTTGTGCTACTAACAAAAATTACAGCAAATGAAAAAGTTACAGATGACAGCCCTACGGGTAATAAATTGGTGGGCAATGTTGTCAACAATGCTCAAAAAAAGAAGTATGTGACTTTACCCACCAACATATTAGGTGAATTTATGAAATTTTTTGCGTAAATAGTAGTCTATGTTATCCATTTTAAATATATTTACGGTTGTAAAAAAAATTACTTACCTGCTGTTATTGCAACTATCAGTTTTCGGTAAAGTTTTTGTGCTGGTTTTTGCCCACCAAAAAACACTACCAACTTATACAAGTTCTAACAGGCAACTGAAGTTACATAGATGACATAACATCACTTAGTGTTGCTAGAAAAATAATGAATTTTATACTACAGCCAAAAAAATACTCCTAAGTTATGTCAAATTCGCTGTGTATCAAGTTTACCAAAAAATACCCAACTGGGCAAAGTCAAATCCCAAGGGCAAAGTTGCCAGGTTTTACGGTACTATTTTTGGGACATTCCACAAACGTATTTTCTTATTTCGTATGTTTGTTTTTTATTTTATGTAGGATTGTTTAAAACAATTTTACGAAAAAAGGATTCAAACTCACTGCACCCCCATTAAAAAAAAAAGAAAGCAAAGTATAAAGATATAGGTGTAGGAGCTTGTACTTGACCTTTTAGAATTGAATTTGAAAACTTGAGTTTCTAAAAATTTTCAATAATATTTTAATATTCTCTAAAATTTTATGGTGTTTTTGTTTTTAATACTTAATTGTATTGAATACTTCCGCTTGGTTTGTATTTATTCCTTAATTTCTGTGTATCAGAGACCATTGCCGAGTATACCTCCCCATAGATCGTCTCATAAGGCGAATATTTGCCTTAGTTGCCACGTTATAATTATGTTACCCTACGGTAGTCTCATACGACACCCACGGCACGAATTGGGCTTGTAAATATTCTTACGTGACTATACGGTAAATACTATTTTGGTTGCACAATTTACTTGCTAGTATTAAAACTAAAATGAAAGTAAGAAGGTATTGCAATACAATTACACCTAAACGCTAAGAATGCAAACTATTAACTAGTGATTTTTTTTAAATTTTGTACTAAAAAAGTAATATACCAGGTTTTATTCATATTCCTTCATTGTCGTCAGAATCTGAGTATGTTTAAAATTTTCAAGTCTAGCTCATCGGGAAGTGCTCGAAATTTTAGTTGCAAGATTCCACCTGGAACGGCAAACACACAGACAAACAAGAAAGTGACTTAATAAAATGTGCTGATAAAAACATAGCTAATTTAAACTTATTCGTAAAACCAAAATGTCAAAATTGTACCGGAGACGTTATTATAAATAAAATGTATGTGAGCAATGTAGCACGCAAGTATAGTTTCCGGAACAGATTTATGCATAATTTTTCTGCGAGTATTTAAGTTAGAGTAATATAGTGTTGCGATATATTTACGCCTAAACCACGAAATATTCTAACATACATGTCTATATTCTATGGCTGTCTAGCCGTAAATCTTTAGATGTGTCAATGTGATCGATTAGTTTTCTATATAAAAAACGTATCTATTAACCAACATATTTTTATGGTGTATATGAAAACCTATTTCATATATAAAATAAAAATAATGGTCTCTTTTTGTATGTTATTTCGTTGATTGAATCATCAATGGTTATACAAGCATTTTTACTACGACTATGATCCATTCGTCTTCAAATGCACCTTGAATGTTCAGAGCAAGCCACTTTCATTATTTAACAGCTGCTTATAATATCACATCTAAGCCGTATTGCTAAGGCACCTGCCGCTTCCTTACATAACGGTTGAAGAAGCTCAAATTTTCATATATTATTAAGTGTAACATATTTATTGTTTCCAATATACCTGAAAAAATTATTAAATTAAACTTCATATGGCAACCTTAATTTGATTCGAATACTAAATAACTCTGTTACCACATATTAGTATTGCTGTTAATAGTGAATATCCTCAAATATATTTTTAAAATATATAGTAGAGTAAAGCCTACTTAGTTGGGTTAGCAGTTTAACCGATCTAATTTGTACATGATATATTTTAAGCCATGTAAAATTCCGTCACCGCCGATCATATGGAAATCAGCTCTAAAACACAAATATTCATAGAAGCACCGGCGGGAATCGATATTTGGTTTCCTTAAAGCTACCACGGATTATGATAATGTAACGATAGATAATAAATATAAATTATATTTTAATTGCTTAATCTGTGCAGGTGGGTGTGCGACGACTTGCCGGAAATAAAAGCTGCACTCGAGAAACACATCCTATGCGACTATGACACACACTCATACGAGAGCATGCGAGCTCTCTGTGACAGATTCAACCGAGCCATCGATTCCGTTGTCGCTTTGGTAAATATACAATCTTTTTCTTTATTGTAAATATAAGTTAGTATATTAATTCTATTCAACAATCTTCTTAATTTCTGTTATTTTTATCCATAGCATATAATTTTATCTCTACATAGTATAAAACGAAGCCACTTCCCGCTGAGTATATTTAAAACTACGCAACGGATTTTGATGCGGTTTTTATCAAAATGATGTATGTAATAATACATGCATATGTTGTCGCGATCCAAAAATCAGCCGTGCAAAGCCGGAGCGGATGACTAGTTTAAAAATAAAATTAATAGCTGTTAAAATTAATTGAGTTCAGTTCTTTTATAAAATAGTATATTAAGTACAATGTGCTGATTAGTAATTAACGGTTCGAGTTAACGTTCGAACGACGATATAGGTATATAACACACGACTATATATTATATTTGGTAAAGTCCAAAAATACTCTTGTGTATTTCATTTTCATATATAATAGTTAAGTAGATATGTCCTAATGATAGGCGGGACACGGATACCATCGACCCTGACGGAAAACACTCATTGTAAATATGAGGTGCTGACACCCACTTTGACCATAGAACGTTACGTTCACTTCATTTTAACTAACGAGCAAAGGCGTGAATTAACAGAACAACTTATTGCTCTATAAATGTAATCTAAACAAAACATTTGTTTGTAAGAGACGAAATTTGGAATTGTTTTCCATAATTCACAATATAACCAACCACACGGCTACAGTAAAAAAGATTTTAGGATAATGAAAACTAAATACAGTAAAACCGGATGTTATGCGAGTACCGATATCACTAGAACGTCGTTTATATGCGACGACATGATCAAGATTCACCAGTCCCAGTCCCAGTCGAGTCCACTTGTAAACACAAACAAAAATTAATTTTATTTGCAAATTATATTTAAATAGAAACCTTTATAAATTACGTAAAGAATATTAACCTGTATCTTGAATGCATATTGTTAAAACAACTATTGGATATAGCGTCCTTAGTTAGTTAGTTGTCGTTATAAGCTATTTAAATTTCAACGTCTCGAGTTTTACCATTTCAGAAGCCAAAAATGACGATCTTGTTCGCTGTGGTCTTCGAAGCATTGTCATAACCCAATAGGATGCGACTTAGTCGTTTTTCCCTAACTTTTGCAAAGACACTGGGTAAACAATTAGTCTACCACTCAGCATTAACTGTCGTTGCTAATGAAGTGGGATTTTCCAGTAGGACTCGTCTAAGAAAAAAAGGCTGTCCCGTTTTTTGCACACGCTCCTTGCCTGCCTTAATTTTGTTTATGTCGCCTTCGAACACGTACAGAATACTGTTGCTTTATTTTCGAAATGTTACAATATATCCATGTTTCATTTCCTGGCACAATGTCTTACGTAGCATTTGAACGTCCGTGATCAGACTTAAACAAAAATGTTTTACACAAATCAATTCGAGCCGGTTTTGTTCTGATGTGAGTTCATGAGTCAACGGCAACAAAGTTTTCAAATTTTTAAATGTTGATGTTAATTTTTTTGAATTTGGCTGATACCAAATGTCCTCCAATCTCTTCATAGATGATGTGCCGATTTTCTTCAATCAGTCGCCTGACATTAGCTATATTTTCCTCAGTGATCGCAGTTGAGGGTCGATGTTCACGTTTTTTTATAGCATTGGGTGACAAACGAGCACACAGTTCACCTGATGGTAAGTTGATGCTGTGGCCCATAGAGATCCACATTTATTATCAATTAAGAATCAAAATGCAAATGCGTTGTCATCCCTATGTACTGAGATGGAATGCCTCGATTCCAGTAAAAAGGATCTCCGGTTTTGTACACTCATCATACAAAACACAGCACACACGAAATACATGTAAAAAGTTTTTTTCATTAACCTTCCAAAAGTATATATTATTTGTTTAACAATTGCTGTTTGGTATTTTTAGCTACTTAGATTTCAAGTAATAAATGATATGGAATATTGAAAATATATTATTTCAAATATAATTTCTTTCAGGATATTCCATTTGGCTAAATATAATCTCAGGAAACAGTTATTACAGCTTATCAGTGATTACCACGTTTCGAGCTTATATCTTCTTCCTCTTCAGTGCTGTCATCTGCAACCTTGTTTTTTAAAACTTTATTAAAAAATTTCAATGATACCTATAGTGAAAACAAAATTAAAATTAAAAAAAAATGTTATAACAATTTGTGCGTAGGTCATAAATTACTATTTTCCACCGTATTTGCTCGCGTCTACCGACAATCAGTAAAATTTTGTTACGGCCCTACTACTGTTGTTTTTACACATTCATATTTCTTTATTTTTGATTCTAATATTCACAAAATATAAATAGTTTCGCCTTACTGGTGAAAGGATATACCACTTTAATTCTAATTTCACAATCAACTGTTTTTCCGATACGTAATTATCGCACAAATAAACAATATATTATCATAACACGTAATTATCGCCCAAATAAATAATATATATGGAATAAATTGCATCTACAAAAATTGGGCAACGACTGTGACGTCAAAGTGTGTTGACGTTTATAGGTGTGAATTGACACGTTAGTTGGCTACGCGGGCAGAGTCTACTCCCCCATTTTATTGTGTATTCTATGCAAGAAACCGTTTAGTGGCGGTATAAAATTTCCACTACCCCATGTCGTCCCGAGAGTACTTACCGTAAGAGGCGACAGACGGAAAACGAAGCAGAAGATGGGCAGTAGGATCTTCGTGATAACAACTTAATATAATAAAAACTGCGGCTGCCAACCAGTCTCTCAAGCGTGGCAACTATGATAAAATGCTGACGCCCCCATGAGGGAGGCCTACGTTTAGCAGTGGACATGGATGGCCGATTTTTAACTCATTTCTTTCATCACCGAGTAAGTGATGAATATGCACGTAAATCACGACTTAAAATTTCAAATAACGATAATGTAAGTGGCGAACGGGTCGTGATCGAACTCTGTTCGCGCACTATGCATTTTTCAAACGAGCGCTTATTCCCTAAAATATTAAAATGTAAAATAATATATTTGACGGTGTCTGTCATTCCTTTCAATTATTATCTGGGTTACTTCAAGGCAGGAGTGAATAGACTTTTGTTACGTTAAGAATATATGATTTACCTTCATCACGACTAATCACTTACCACAAGGTGGGATTGTACTACCTACACTAGCTTGTAATTGCTAAAAAATAAAAAAATATAATTATAATAAAATGTATATATATATATATATATATAAATAGCACAAGATCGCAATAATACACGTATAGTATGACTTAGTTAGAATTCTTCAAACTATTAGATATTTTGCGGCGTACGTATGAAAAGAATATAATTTAAAAGGTGTACATGAGTGCAACAAACAATCCTCTTAATAAACTTTTAACAGTACAACATAATATTATTCCAATAAAAGGAATGAATTGTATCGTCTTTTAATTTAAGTGTGTTTGCCTTAGTGCCGCTCGTTTTATTGTTGTTATCTCGGAAGGTCACTTTTGTACTGATGTTCACCTTCAGAAAACAGCTACATAATTGCTGCAAATAACTACGACTGCAAACTTCATTACACACATATTAGTAGCCATGCTGCAGTCATATTAGTAGTATAGTTGTAGCACGAATGGGTCGGCTCGACCGGGGAAGGGCCACGCTCTCACAGAATACCAGCGTCAAATAGTAGCATAATGCTGCTGTGTTTCGTATGGTGAGTGTAAAGAACCGGAGACCCTTTTTACTGGAAACGAGGCATTCCACCTAAGTCCTCACGGATAACAACGCATCTGCATGTTGATTCGTAATCGAAGATAGGTGTAGATGTCTATGGGCCACAGCAACCACTTACCACCAGAGGGACTGTGTGCTCGTTTGTCATCCTGTCCTATAAAAAATATAATATAAAACATAAGATAAATATGCTATTCTACTGCAATTATTTTCTTCGTAGGCGGGCTGCCTATCGCTGTTTTTTATTACTATTGAGTTGTTATCAAAAAGGTGCCGCTCCCCATCTCCTGCTTCGGTTTCCCTCGGTCGCGTCTTACGACACCCACAGCACAATATTCTGTAATTTATTGTACCTCCGCCATGTTATTTATTTATTTAAATGTTTGAAATCATTAAATCTATTAATATATTATTACTCCATCTAGTGGTGAATCGCCCAACACTACGCTTATCGGTACGAGGCTGCCACTCGAGAACCTTTTTTCCCCATCGGTTATCGGTTCTTCGAGCTATATGGCCGGCCCATTCGTAGGGCGACCCCCCACTAGATGGAATGACGATGCAGGTGGCTCAGGATCAGGACCGTGCTTTGTGGCATTACTTGGGCCTATGTTCAGCTGTGGACTTGTGAAGGGCTATAATGATTATGATGAAGATGATGATGAATATATTATTATAAGGTTTATATAAATATTATTATTAATATATATTATTTAACATGGTAGTTAGTTAGTCAGATTTTAAAGATAAAATAGAATAACCAATATATATAGTTAGATGTGTAAATTTTAAGGTTTAAAATTATTAAACTATTTTATGTAATCTGGTTAATGAAATTTATACACTATTCTACACTTGGCATAGTTTTCACGTCGCGGAAATATCTTCAATGTCAACTTTATAACACACTTCCTACATGTACAAGTCAAAGAATTTGCGTAAAAACATTACCTACGGCATAATTCACAGCATGACCCATTTTTGTTGGTACCGTGTGCAATTGAAAAGATAATAAAGCTCGAAATAGTACTTTTTCCATTGCTACTTTTAATACAGTGTCAGTAATCTCCAACATACAACGGTAATACTGTGCTTTGCATATGCGAAACGAAAGAGCGAATGTGGGGCAGTGAGGGGCTGCGGTGGGGAGTGGGGCGGGGAGTGCAAGAGGGAGACACGAGCACGAGGGCCAAGATGGCGGCGAGGACGCAACGATCGATGTCCGTAGCAGACACCGCACGAGCGAGGCTACTCTATTTATAC